CTGTCTGTCTACTCTTTCTGCATTGAGTCTCTTCTGTCCTAGGTGCTAGGAATCTGTGGATGAAGGATAGGGCCTTGCTGCCAAACCTGCACGGGCTTAGTAGGACCAAAGCTCTACGCTGGCACTTGGAGACCTGGGCATGAGCGGCGAGCGCTCGTTAAACAACTCGTCTAGCCCAATAACCGGTACTGTCCGACAAGTCTACTGAGTTCGGTGTAGAGGGTCTGAACTCCGGGCTGTAGGCTGAAATGAGGGTCGTCTTTAAGTATTGAGGCCTGGTTGAGCCACTCCCCTACCGGACCTAGTAAGGTTGATGATCTGTGTCTGACGACTCGACTGTCCCGAGGGATACGAACCCCTCCAAGGACCGGTACAGACCGGCGGGCTGCTCGGTGTGGCACAGTAGGCCGGAACGGCTGAGTTGCGGGCTGAAATCGCCAGAGGAACCAAGCTGATYGCGTCGTCCTGTCTGCGACGTTMAAGAATTCTTGYGGAGTTTGGGGGATCTCCTTAAATGYCTCCTGATCAGCTCTTGGTTCTGTAGTGACAGTCTTAGAGTAGTCTTGGGTTAGTAGTGGCCATAGTTGACAGGGTCTTATCCTGTGGTCCTTAGGAAGTCAGTCAGTCGGTTAGTGTGTCCGGGTAGGGTTACGTGGTGAGGAGTGGGACCCTTGTCGTGCACCAACACCACGATGGACGACTACCCGATGTATGGGTTGCTGGTTGGGTTCTCCCTCTGGGGGACCCTCTGGCGTCTCCTCTTTCCTCTGGGATTTTGGCATACCTTTGCGTGTAGAGTAGGGTCCACTCGAGGTGGTACCGCCACCCAACCATACACGAAGGAGGAGAAGGAGAAGATGGCCGCCATCCTGCAGGAGAGGAAGGAGAAGGAGGCCAAGAAGAAGGCCTTGAAAGAAGAACAGGCGGCCAAACTGAAGAAGATGGAGGAAGAAATGGCCAGGGGGAAGGAGAGGCTGATAAAGGAAGAAGAGGAGAAGCTGAAGGAGGTGGATGAAGAGGAGGAGGGACCGCCACTGCAAAGGAGTGGGCAGCACAGCGGCTGCAGCAGTGATCAGATGGAGAAGAAGATTTCGGAGTGGGTCGCCAACTTATCCCTGGGTGAGGAGGAAGAGGTTGCTATGTACATCCCCAAGGATGAGCAAGAAGCCGCTATGAAGAAATGGGAAGCAAAAGAAGATGTTCTGACGCGGCGGGTGATGGAGGATGAACAAAGGATGGCGTGGAAGCTCGCAGTGATGAGGGAGAAGAAGAGAAGAGTGGAGGCGGCGAATGCGGCAATGCAGGAACTGGAGGAGGTGAGGGTTGCCGTAACAACACAATTGATTCCGCAAGTGGATCTCCAACGTAAAGTGGAGATCATCGCCCAGAGCGTTGAGCGGTTAGCTAAAGTGCAAGAAAGGCACTTTGAGTTTAGTCGCAGCCAGGAAATATCTATACGCTCGATGCGAGCGGGCTTACGGGACTTTGCTCGCGAGTTAGTAGGCGCTGTGGGGTCCGAGGTGACTCACCGCCTCAAGAAGACTGAGCGTTTTTGTGTCGGCGCCATTGAGGGCGTCAAGGTGGCCGCTCCCAAGGAGGAGGAGGCTCGTCCTCGCAGGGAGCCGGTCAAAGTCAAATTCCCTGATTCCTACAGTGGGAAAAGGGAAGAGAACTTTGACAATTGGGAGGCCAATGTTAAGACTTATGTGCATCTGCAACAGGTATCCCCGGATCAGCAGGTCCTAATTGCGATCCACGCGCTTAGAGATGAGGCCGCCAGCTTTGCAAGGTCCCAAGTTCGCGCTGCCAACTGTAGTGACGACCCGGTAGCGTACTCCTTGTTCACGTCCCTCGCCGAATTCTTGAAGTTGTTACGTGAGCGATTCGCTGATGTTGCCCGTAGTGTCAAAGCCTCAGATAGGCTTCAGACAATACACTCGCGCCAATGGAAGAGTGCAAGCACTCAAGGGCACAATGGATGAGTTAGTGGCTGTTCCTGACCACAAGGTCACAGAGACCCAGTTGGTCAACCTCTTCTACCGGGCCATGCCCGAAGCGCTGCGTGGTCACTTCTTTGACAAGAGTCAGGACCCTGCTATGACTTATGATATACTTAGCAGGGAAGTGGTCGCGTTCGAGGCGAAGTCTGCGTCGATTTCTACCTTCTGGCACAAAGATTTAGACAAAGGCAAAAAGTGGAAGGGCCGCACTATCTCAGGGCAGGTCGAGACTAAGGATAGCCTTGTGCTCACTTTAGATGAAGGTAGTGTGGATGAAATCCCTTACGATCAGATTGAGTGGGGGTTAGAGGAGGAGGACAGCGGTGCGGGCCAGGGGAGATCCTACGCTGCTGTCGCGGCTGGAGGGAGGCCGCAAGGAGGAAGAGGTCAGGGCCAAGGGGGCCGGGCCTCAGGGAGCCGGTTTCAGGGCGATCAGGGGGTTGGCGGCAGAGGAGGAAACCGCCAAGCGGGAGGAAGGGGTCAAGGTCCCCCGCAAAACCGTCCTAGGAATAGGTCTCCCTACAGAGTAGGAGGATGGCACCCAGGGCTACCACAGGGTACGCCTTGGGAATCTTTGGGTCTGGACCAGGCTTTATGGCAACAACGATTGGACCAGGGCCAATGCATTTTCTGCGGTGACCCGGACCACATCATCAAATATTGTCCTAAGTACAGAGAGACCCGAACGGCTGCCCAAGGGCCAAAAGGCAGCCGCCGGTAGGGGTAGCAACTGCCCCTACCATTAGGTCATGTGGGGAACATAGCGCTAGCCGGCAGGAGACTCCCACACCACATGT